AGATTTGCTCTTCTTCAAAGAGCTACAGAAAAGAAATCGAATAATCTTCAATAAGGAACATGGCTTAAATGTAAAAATGGACCCTCAGTGTAATGACATTAAAATTCACAGAAGCTCAAGGTTAGTTTGGCTCATCTTCCTAATTTAGGCACCTAATTTTCTTGTACATTGTATAGTCAGAAGTAGGCTTTTAGCTTCAGGTGTCCCTCTGAAGCTCTTATGCAAGATATCATAGTTTTCTGATACAGTTCTGGTACAATTCAATAAAGTACTGACACTTCAGAAATGTCTACACTTTGAAAGATACCTGACCATACAAAATTTCACCATTGCCTGATTGCTCTAGTATCTGTTTCTTATTCCCCCTAGCAGTTTCCATGGCTGTGGTCTCTGGAAAAAAAATAATTTCCACATCAGCTCAGATGCCTCTGTACAAATGCCCATAGTATGGGGAATAAACAAGAAGAATTAGAGATGTGTGCATGTCTACAGGGATATGACATGAGAGGTACCACAGAAACACGGTGGGATGGCTCCTATGACTGGAGTGTTGCAATGGAAGGTTACAGGCTCTTTAGAAAAGACAGGCCCAGCAGACAAGGAGGGGGAGCTGCTATTTATATTAGGGATAGGCTGGAGAGTATGGAACTCTGTCTGGGGACAGGTGATCAGTCAACAGAGAGTTTGTGGGTCAGGGTTAAAGGGAAAACAGCTATGGGAGACATTACTGGGACCTGATGAAATCCATCTGCAGGTCCTGAAGGAGCTGGTGAATGAAGTTGGGAAGCTGCTGGCCATCATATTTGAGAAATCATGGCAGTCAGGTGACGTTCCCGATAACTGGAAAAAGGGAAATATAACCCCCATTTTCAAGAAGGGGAAAATGGATGACTTGGGAAATTACAGACCAGTCAGTCTCACCTCTGTGCCTGGCAAAATCTTGGAGCAGATTCTCCTGGATGACATGCTAAGGCACATGAAAAACAACAAGGTGCTTGGTGACAGCCAGCATCGCTTCACTAAGGGGGAATCCTGCCTGACCAATTTGGCGGCCTTCTCTGATGGGGCAATGGAACTGATGGGCAGGGGCAGAGCAGTTGATGTCATCTACCTGGACTTGTGCAAAGCATTCGACACTGTCCCACACGACATTCTTGTCTCTAAATTGGAAAGACATCAATTTGATAGATGGACCACTCGGGGGGTAAAGAACTGGCTGGATGGCCGCACGCTATCAATGGCTCAATGTGCTGCTGGAGACCAGTAACGAGTGGTGTCCCTCACGGTTGGTGTTGGGATCGGTCTCGTTCAACATCTTTGTCGGTGACATGGACAGTGGGATTGAGTGTGCCCTCATCATGTTTGTCAATGACACCAAGCTGTATTGGTTGGTTGGTATGCTGGAAGGAAGGAATGCCATCCAGAGGGACCTTGACACACTTGTGAGGTGGGCTGATGCCAACCTCATGAAGTTTAACCATGCCAAGTGCAAGGTCCTACACCTGGGTCAGAGTAATCCCAGGCACAGCTACAGGTTGGGCAGAGAAGAGATTCAGAGCAGCCCTGTGGAGGAGGACTTGGGGTTGCTGGTCAATGAGAAAATGAACATGAGCTTACAGTGTGCTTGCAGCACAGAAAGCCAACTGTATCCTGGGCTGCATCAAAAGGAGCATGACCAGTAGGTTGAAGGAGATGATCCTGCACCTTTATATAAAAAAAAAAATATTTTTTATATAGCTAATTTCGCAGCGCCTGTGTTTTGCTGAACTGACATATTTTAGATTCTATCAATGCTACAGAATCATAGAATCATAGAATAGTTAGGTTTGGAAAGGACCTTAAGATCACCTAGTAAAAATGCCCCTGTCATGGGCAGGGACACCTCACACTAAACCATATCACCCAAGGCGCTGTCCAACCTGGCCTTGAACACTGCCAGGGATGAAGCATTTACAACTTCCCTGGGCAACCCACTCCAGTGCTTCACCACCCTAACAGGAAAGAACTTCCTCCTTATATCCAATCTAAACTTCCACTCTTTAAGTTTTAACCTGTTACCCCTTGTCCTGTCATTACAGTCCCTAATGAAGAGTCCCTCCCCAGCATCCCTATAGGCCCCCTTCACATACTGGAAGGCTGCTATGAGGTCTCCACACAGCCTTCTCTTCTCCAGGCTGAACAGCCCCAATTTTCTCAGCCTATCTTCATATGGGAAGTGCTCCAGTCCCCTGATCGTCCTCGTGGCCCTCCTCTGGACTTGTTCCAACAGCTCCATGTCTTTTTATGTTGAGGACAGCAGAGCTGTATATAGTACTGCAGGTGAGGTCACGAGAGCAAAGTAGAGGTGCAGGATCACCTCCTTCAACGTACTGGTCATGCTCCTTTTGATGCAGCCCAGGATATGGTTGGCTTTCTGTGCTGCAAGCGCACACTGCCAGCTCATGTTCATTTTCTCATCAACCAACACCCCCAAGTCCTTCTCTGCAGGGCTGCTCTGAATCTCTTCTCTGCCCAACCTGTAGCTGTGCCTGGGATTGCTCTGAGCCAGGTGTAGGAGCTTGCACTTGTCATGGTTAAACTTCATGAGGTTGGCATCAGCCCACTTCACAAGCGTGTCAAGGTCCCTCTGGATGGCATTCCTTCCCTCCAGCATATCAACTGAACCACACACCTTGGTGTCATTGGCAAACTTGCTGAGGGCACACTCCATTCTACTGTCCATGTCACCAACAAAGATGTTGAACAGGATCGGTCCCAACACCAGTCCCTGAGGGACACCACTCATTACTGGTCTCCAGCATAAATGGCTTCAAGAAAGATTACTTCTACATTCACTTTTCATTTATTTCACTGTATGTACTTGTAGATTAGAATAGAGAAAGTGTAGTGGGCATCATGCGTTGTTTCATTTTTTTAATTTATTTTCTTCTTTAATTGTTTTGCCTTTTTATTTCTTTGTCATTTGGAATTATCTTGCAATATAACTAATTCAATCTTATGTTTAATTCTACCTGGAAAGCCCCTGACCTGTGCCCCTCCTACCAAAAGATCATCAGACCCCAAATTTCATATTTTCTCTATATTTTCTGGTTCCTGCATTTGCATTGGACTCCTCTTTGACTTGAGTAAAACCATTCCTATGTTACTTTTTAGCTAAAAGCTACTGTTTACCTATAATGTTGGCATAAATTATGTCTTCTTTCACAAGTTCTGCAATATTTTTTTATATTTCAATCTCAGCAATGTTGACAAAAGATTTTTTTTTTTAATACTGTGTGTTAAAATGTGAGGTCCAGCTTGGATTGTTTTAGTAAAAAGCTATTATATACAAAAGGTTATTCTTTAAGGAATTAACTTTTCAACTGCTTCTTCTCATTCAGAAAGCAAGAGATGTGCTCTTTGAATTCATTGTTATCTTAAAAGCATGTAAAGAATATTTAGGTCAGGTTTTCCAGTGTAATATTTTAAGGGCAGAACAAGATAAGCTTAAAAACAAGTGCATTTTTTTCTTTTTAGAAAGACATTAAAAATATATGGTGAGACACAATGAATTTTTAAACCTCAAAATTTTAAGATCACTCTAAAACCGTATTTGTTATAATCCTAAATAAATAATTGAATAATCTATATATTTCACATGCAGATTTTTTATAAATGTTCTTAGGAACAGAAAGACTCACAAAAATCTTAGACATTTTATTATTATGCCAAATAAAAAGAACCATTTTCCAAAATGGTCTAAGTGATTCAGATGCTTGATGCCTGACCTTAAAAATAATTTATTAAAGGTAGGATTTTTTGGAACCACTTAGAGCTGTTGGTATAGCGTCAGGGCAATCCCAAGCAGAAGTACATGCTGGGAAGAAAATGAAGCCTGCAATGTACATGTACAGCCTAGAAATGCTGGGCTGTGTTGAAGAAAGTGTGACTAGGTAGAGGGAGGTGATTCTCTCCATCTGCTCTTGTGAGACCCCACCAGAAGTACTGTACCCAGCTCTGGGGCTCCCAACAAAAGAAAGACGTGGACCTGCTCAAGAGAGTCAAGAGGAAGCCAGAAAGGTGATCAGAGGTCTGGAGCTCTATGAAGACGGGGTGAGAGAATTGTTCAGCCTGGAGAAGAGAAGGCTCAGGGGAGACCTTAGAGCACCTTCCAGTGCCTAAAGGGACCTACAAGAAATTTGGAGAGGGCCTTTTTACAAGGGCAGGTAGTGACAAGACAAGGGGTAATGGCTTTAAACAGAAAGAGGGGAGACTTAGATTAGACATTTGGAAGAAGTTCTTTACTGTAAGGATGCTGAGACACTGGAACAGGTCGCCCAGAGAAGCTGTGGCTGCCCCATCCCAGCAGTGTTGGATGGGGCTTTGAGCAACCTGGTCTAGTGGGAGGTTGGTAAGTAGGGAAGGTTTTGATAACACAGCACTGTTTTCTAGGACACATTTTATGTCATTGTTCTACATATTTTATAGTAGAATAATGCATATAGAATGCAATGATAATTGATATATATGTCTTCCTTACATTGTAAGCACATCTCAGCTGGTCATCATTGGGAAGGGAAATACTGTTGGAATTGAAGATATTAAGATTCTTGAAACTGAAAGAAATTTGAACTGAATAATTTAATTCAATTCAATCCAATCGAAATATTTAGTCCTTATACAGCTTGCATTTCCATTTAGATGTTTCAGCTTCCCTACTCTCTCTAAATAGATGAGAGTGATTCAGGCAACTAATCTATGTACAAGAAAAAACAAATGTCTAGCAAGTAACTGACAGTTTAGTCCAGAGAAAGTAGCTTACTCTATGATGTAGGGTAAATCTAAGCGCTCCGTGGAGCTTACATTCATTTCGGCATTTTTTGAGGCATTAAGGAGAAACTTAGTATTAAGCATTTCATGTTGCTTTCTTCATAAAGTTACATTTAGTCTGAATAGCTGCAATTATTGATCACCTTATTAATATCTTAAAGTAAGAACAAACAAAAAAAAAAGATGTGACCATGGAAACCTTTGGGATCCAGTTTGAGAGCTATGGGTTATGTCCAAGGTACGTACTTTGTGCCTGTATTGCTTTGTCTGTGCGTAAATCAAGCTGGAAAAAAAAAATAAAAAAAAATTGCATCTTAGAAAATCTAGCACCTAGCTCTGGAAGCAGGTTATATATCAGCACTTTTCATTCATCATAGGGAAAAGGCATATTCTCTTTTATTTCGTTTTGCTTTCATTTCTGGCTCTAGTCCATAAATAAATTTCATTATTTACCTTTTATCTCCTTGGGTAATATTTTATAAAGCTTTTTATTCTATTTAAGTTACTCTTATGTACAGATGGCAACAGTTTAATTTGTGACAGGAACTCTACCTGTCTTTTTTACCTCAGGCTGTTTATGGCATAACATGAGGAACTATCATTTACACTTGTGATAGTGAAGCAGATGTTGCTCTGCCCTGTGTAATCCCCACCTGGCACCATTTGTGTTGCCTATAGCTGTAACATGTGTAGTCGAGAGGTCAGCTTGCATATCACTTGTGCTCTTTAAGATGGCTGAAGCCCTTTTTCCTAGTCTATTTTTAGCCTAGTTCTGGTGTGCTAAAAGAAAGCAGTGAATCACTACCAAATGGAAGAAAGCAAAACTCTGCTCAGGAGCTGGCAGGTAGACCAAACAGTCACTTTTTCCATTCAATTCAAATTTATGACTGAGTTCTTCTCAGTGATGGATGGCTGTATGAGCTATATAACCAGGGGGAGACTAAGCCATTCTGCATAGCAATTTTTCCTTTTTCTCTTGTTACGTGCATATCTGAGATCTCATTCTACGATTATGCATATTAAGAACATGAATATTGAACTTTCATTTATTCAAAATGGATTACACTTACTATAGTCAAAACAATACACATTACTGGAACTAGTAAAAAAGTGGTTTGATGGTCTTATGAATTTTGAGCATTTGGATTATTTTATTTTTTTTTCCTCAGGGGCATAATTTAGGAGTCTAGCATCCACTTTAGAATACTGTGAATCTTCCTTAGCATTTCCTTCATGACCCTTCTGGCTTCCATAAAGGTTAAGAGACTACCTTCAGGCTATATAACAACCCAGAGCATTTCTGCCAGATAATATGAAATATTCTGGTCAGGAATAAAGGGGGAAGCAGCTGAAACAACTCTCTTAGCTCTTTTCCAACTCCCATTCACCAGCAAATTTGCTCTTGATTTCTTTCAACTTTTATGAATGTAAACCTGCAAAAAGCTGGTGGATTTAATTTCAGTTCACCTGAATTCTATCTGTATTTAAGTACCTAGATTGGAATGATAATAAATGGAAATAAGTAAGTTGGAAACTGAGCAAAATATGAGGTATAAAACAAACTGCATACATTAGCACCAGCAAAGAAAGAATCTGGAATGATTTTCTGAAAGGTGCTTACTACAGGACAGGTTAATGGAGTTGTTTTTAGGATGAGACCTGCTCAGGGTTTAGTGTGGCAAAACAGAACCTGAATATAATTTGACTCAGAAAACCAATTTTATGACCAGAATGCTCTCAGGGTTTTTGTTTTTTCTGCAACATTTCTAGAATTTGTGTCTTGATTTTGCAGGTCAGAAGGACATATCTATTTCTCCACCTTCTTTATAACAGATGAATCAGAAAAGCCTGACATAGGTATGCTCAGGGCAAATCACAAACCCTTCAAGGCAAGTGCCATGTGCTTACCATGGTGGAAGCAACCACCGGGTGGCTGGAAACATACGCTGTGCCTCACGCCACTGCCCAGAACACTATCCTGGGCCTTGAGAAACAGATTTTGTGGCGACACGGCACCCCAGCTAGAGCTGAGTCAGACAATGGGTCTCATTTCCAGAACAGCCTTACAGACATTTGGGCCAAAGAGCATGGCATTGAATGGGTATATCACATCCCCTACCATGCACCAGCCTCTGGGAAAATCGAACGGTACAATGGGCTGTTAAAAACTACACTGAGAGCAATGGGTGGTGGGACTTTCAAACACTGGGATATGCATTTACCAAAAGCCACCTGGTTGGTCAACACTAGGGTATCTGCCAACAAGGCTGGTTCAGCCCAGCTGGAACTTTTACATGCTGTAGAAGGGGATAAAGTTCCTGTAGTGTACCTAAAGAATTTGCTGGGGAAAACAGTCTGGGTTATTCCTGCCTCAGGCAAAGGCAAAACCACTCATGGAATTGCTTTTATTCAGAGGCCTGGGTGCGATTGGTGGGTGACACAGGAGGATGGGGAAGTCTGGTATGTACCTCAAGGAGATTTGATTTTGAGTGAAAATAGTCAATGAATTAAATTGTATGATGCCGTATAACATTGAATATTACCACTTACAGGGCAGCTATGCACCCATCATTGTGCTAGATGCCTCGTGGCACCCGTCTCCACTGCTCTGGATTTGAGAATCTGAACCTGACTCCCTTTTGGTCACCACATTACTGAAGAATTAACTTTGATACAGCTGGACAGTGTATAAGTGTGATACACTGTCCAGTGGTGATAGAATCGGAGCTGGCTTCAGCATGCAACAATCCAACACCACACACCATCCACCCATCCATCCACCCATCTTTCCTGGCCTGAGAGACTGTTCTGAAAGATGGAGCCCCAGGTCAGGGATTGAATGAATGCAGCAAACCTTTCTAGGGATGGTGCATAGACTAAGGGAAGGATATCTCTGTGTGTGTATATATTTATACATCAAAAGACAGGAGACGTGATGGTGGGAAGTGCGACACCTGGCATGACGCAAGTGCTACAGAAAAATGGGTGGATACTTTCCTGATTTCAGCAGGGATACAGTTAATTTTTTTCCTTGTAGCTAGTGCCGTGCTGTGTTTTGGCTTCAGTCTGAGAACAATGCTGATAACACACCGATGTTTTAGTTGTTGCTAAGTAGCACTTATCCTGATCAAGGACTTTTCAGGTTCTCATGCTCTACCAGTAAGGAGGGGCACAAGAAGCCAGAAGGGAACAGAGTTAAGACCCCTGATCCATATTAGCCAAATGGGTATTCCATACCACAGCATGTCATGTTCAGTATATAAACTGGGGGGAGTCACCTGGAAGGGACAGATCATTGCTTGGGCCAGGTTGGGTATCGGGCAGTGGGTGGTGAGAAATTGTATTGTGCATCACTTGTTTATTGTTTGTTTTTACTTCCCCTTTTAGTTTTATATTCTCTGTTATTTCCTTTGTTGTTATTATTATTACTAGCACTATTATATTCTACTTTATTTTATTAAACTCTTTTTATCTCAACCAGTTGTGTTTACATTCTTTTGATTCGCATCCCCATCCTGCCTGGGGTGGGAGAGGAGTGGAAGAGAGGATGAACAAACTGCTGTGTGGTACTGAGTTACCAGCTGGGTTTAAATCACGATACCAGGTTTCTCATCTATTACTTTAGCTGTTCATTGGGAAGACTTGCAAAAATAAAGTGAGAGCAAACAATTCATTTTTGTTCTGGGAGGCTTGAAAACATGACCCTAAATGTTAAACTGAATCAATGGACACAGTAAAGACTCACAAAGAACCCAGAAGCAAACATCCCACAAACGCCACTGGGACTCGGATGGAAATGCAGATAATGATAGAAACACAGAAGTCATCACAGCTGTGTGTATTAAGTCGGAAGCAAGACTCATTACCAGATGCTTCAGAGGAAGGTGTAGGACAGGGACATAGAAATAGCAAAGGCCCATTTTAAAACCAAGTAGAAAATAGTCTGGCACCACACTTGCTATTACACTACCTTAGAAATCCACTCTGGAATGTCAAGTATTTGGGGGCTGAAAAATCATCAGCTATCATTGTACCTTTTTTGGGGGCTTTTTGATATATTTTTTTTTTTACATCTATTTTTGGAACATCCCAAACTGGGATATTAGTACGGTTCAACAAAAAGATGTAGTAAAAAAAAACAAAAACAAAACAACCCCCCCAAAACAACAGAAAGCTGTTTATTCCGGTGTTCACTTAAGACCACTTACGTTCCTCCCTAGCACATCTTCCCTTATTCAAAATGTTATCTGATACTTACAAAAGATGAAAGAAACTGGACCACTACAGGTCAGTGTGTATTTGTTGTCTCATTCAAGTTCATTTAAGACTTCATGTAAGATTTGCTCTTCTTCAAAGAGCTACAGAAAAGAAATCGAATAATCTTCAATAAGGAGCATGGCTTAAATGTAAAAATGGACAGGCAATGGAACTGATGGACAGGGGTAGAGCAGTTGATGTCATCTACCTGGACTTGTGCAAAGCGTTCGACACTGTCCCACATGACATCCTTGTCTCTAAATTGGAGAGACATCAATTTGATAGATGGACCACTCGGGGGGTAAAGAACTGGCTGGATGGCCGCACGCAATCAATGGCTCAATGTGCAGCTGGAGACCAGTAACGAGTGGTGTCCCTCACGGTTGGTGTTGGGATCGGTCTTTTTCAACATCTTTGTCGGTGACATGGACAGTGGGATTGAGTGTGCCCTCATCATGTTTGTCAATGACACCAAGCTGTATTGGTTGGTTGGTATGCTGGAAGGAAGGAATGCCATCCAGAGGGACCTTGACACACTTGTGAGGTGGGCTGATACCAACCTCATGAAGTTTAACCATACCAAGTGCAAGCTCCTACACCTGGCTCAGAGTAATCCCAGGCACAGCTACAGGTTGGGCAGAGAAGAGATTCAGAGCAGCCCTGTGGAGAAGGACTTGGGGTTGCTGGTCAATGAGAAAATGAACATGAGCTTACAGTGTGCTTGCAGCACAGAAAGCCAACTGTATCCTGGGCTGCATCAAAAGGAGCATGACCAGTAGGTCGAAGGAGATGATCCTGCGCCTCTACTTTGCTCTTGTGACCTCACCTGCAGTACTATATACAGCTCTGCTGTCCTCAACATAAAAAGACATTGAGCTGTTGGAACAAGTCCAGAGGAGGGCCACGAGGACGATCAGGGGACTGGAGCACCTCCCCTATGAAGACAGGCTGAGAAAACTGGGGCTGTTCAGCCTGGAGAAGAGAAGGCTGCATGGAGACCTCATAGCAGCCTTCCAGTATGTGAAGGGGGCCTATAGGGATGCTGGGGAGGGACTCTTCATTAGGGACTGTAGTGATAGGACAACGGGTAATGGGTTAAAACTTAAAGAGTGGAAGTATAGATTGGATATAAGGAAGAAGGTGTTTACTGTGAGGCTGGTGAGGCACAGGAATGGGTTGCCTAGAGAAGTTGCGAATGCTCCATCCCTCGCGGTTTTCAAGGCCAGGTTGGACAGTGCCTTGGGTGGCATGATTTAGTGTGAGGTGTCCCTGCTCATGGCAGTGGGGTTGGAACTAGATGATCTTGAGGTCCTTTCCAACCCTAACTATTCTATGATTCTATGAATATAGCAAAGACATTTTTTTTTTTTCCAGTATTTCTGCTACCAGCTGGCCCACTCTTGACTGGAAAACATGCTAGTAAATCCAGAAGGAGTAGTCAAGAGGAGCTAGAAAAAACCTAGAATGCAAAAGAAATGCATGATAGCATAAATTGTTCAGATGCACAGATGGGAAATACAATTATTGAAAGGAAGAAGTGGCTTTGAAAAAGAGGCAGGGATGTGAAATCTACAAGTATCATAGAAAGGCATTTATGGTAAACATCATTATGTACAGTTTTCTATAAACTTTAGTATTTCAGTGGGTATGTAATACTCCAACTATCTCAACATTGTCACCCACATCACCCATGAAATGGACAGAAACACCATAAATACTTTGTCTGTACAAAATCTACAAATGCCAACACTGATGGGCTGTCATACTGTCATATTTTTCCTTGTGCACCTTCCCATCTGAACTTTCCCACTCTGATGAACTGGAAAGTTCAGATTAAATTACCTGGTGTGTGCTTGCTTCTTTAAGGGAAAATTTATACATATGTTTTTATTTATTGAAAAAGTTGTTGAACTGAAACACATTTGAACTGATTTATTCAGTTAAACAAATGTTTGCTATTACTTCCTAATATTTACTAAATCTAGAAGTGTCTGGAGCAGATTTTTGATTTCCCAGCTATTTTTCAGATAATACCAACATAAGGATGAAATGGCCCCAGTTTTTCTGAAAATCAGGAGTTATTTTTACTACGGCTTTCACAAATTAGGGTAACTAAAGCTCTAAATTTGAAAACAAGAAGTTTATTTTTAACAACGGTGAATAGCTCTGACAATGTAATTTTTTTAATTTATAGCTAATCTGTATTTATATTTGTCCTGGGTTCAGCAGTAGCAGTCATGTTTTAAGAGGACATACAAGACCACAAAAACCTGAATGAAACCTTCAAGAAGGAAACTGATTTCCTAGAGTGGTATGGCTGCCTGATGAGATGCGGAACAGGGTACCCTGCCTCCTATTACCTAGAGCACTGTGACTAATACTGGCCAAACTGAGCCTGGCTCCTGACAACAGGAGGCTCTACCTGTTTTTCTGCTAATGTCTCTCCTATTTTCTCCTTGTAGTCCTGTTCCAGATTATGTAAAATCAACTGTGGAAACTACAATGAAAATTCACCAGATGGAGAATGATGGTGATATACTGGCATTTTTAACTGGGCAGGAGGAAGTGGAGACTGTTGTTTCCACGCTCATAGAACAGGCTCGGGCCCTCTCTCGCACTGGAATGAAAAGACACCTCCGTGTTCTCCCCATGTATGCTGGACTGCCTTCTCCTGAGCAGATGAAAGTGTTTGAGAGAGTTTCTCACAATGTCAGGAAGGTGGTAGTTGCCACCAACGTTGCAGAGACCTCCATCACGGTTCGCGGAATCGTATTCGTAATTGATTGTGGGTTTGTGAAGCTTCGTGCATATAACCCCAAGACAGCCATTGAATGTCTTGTGGTGGTTCCAGTCTCTAAGGCTTCAGCTAATCAGAGAGCAGGATGTGCAGGACGGAACCGCTCTGGTAAATGTTACAGGCTTTATACAGAGGAGGACTTTGAAAAGTTGCCCAAGTCCACTGTTCCTGAGATGCAGCGCAGTAACCTTGCACCCGTCATCTTGTAGCTGAAGGCTTTGGGAATCGACAATGTGCTCAGGTTCCCCTTTCTTTCACCACCTCCTGCCCAGTCAATGGTGCAAGCTTTAGAACTGCTGTATGCCTTAGGAGGTTTGGATATGCACTGCCGTTTAACAGAGCCTCTTGGAATGAGAATAGCAGAGTTTCCTTTGAATCCTATGTTTGCAAAGATGCTTCTGGAATCAGGAAATTTTGGCTGCTCCCAGGAGATTTTGACAATTGCTGCCATGATGCAGATTCAGAACATCTTTGTGATCCCTCCAAATCAAAAGTCTCAGGCTGCCAGGCGACACAGAAAGTTTGCTGTGGAAGAAGGTGATCATCTCACTATGCTTAATGTGTATGAAGCCTTTGTCAAACACAGCAAGAGCTCTCAGTGGTGTCAGGAGCACTTTCTGAACTACAAAGGGCTTGTAAGAGCTTCTGTTGTAAGAGAGCAGCTGAAAAAGCTTCTTGTCTGCTTTAAAGTGCCAAAGAAGTCTAATGAAGGTGATCCAGATCCTGTTTTGAGATGCATAGTTTCTGGATTCTTTGCAAACGCAGCTAAATTCCACTCTACTGGAGCTTACAGGACTATCCGTGATGACCAGGAACTTCATATCCACCCCACGTCAGTGTTGTATGCAGAGAAACCTCCACGCTGGGTAGTCTACAATGAAGTCATACAGACTGCGAAATATTACATGAGAGATGTGACTGCTGTGGAATCTGCATGGCTCTTGGAACTGGCACCTCATTTTTACCAGCAAGTAGCAGTACAGGATCAGCATAAAGCCCAAATGCATCTTTCCTTGACAGCAAAACGGGCTAAAGTAGGAGACCAGTGATTTGACATGACTTAAGTCTTCTGTCATCAGATGCAGAGCCTACCAGTGATTTGAAGCTGGCTACAGTCCCTTCAGGAGTCAGTTCATTAGCAATTTGATCTTCCATCAACTTAAATGTTTAAATGCCTGCCAGGATCTGTAGGGGTTAATGCATGACCAGCACATTGTAAACCTATGTAGAGCTTGCATTGTGCACATTTTATTCTTTGCCTACTTGACCACTGTTGTTAATCTGGGCATGTTGCTCCTCCTAAATAGGTAGAAAAATAATTTACAAAGTAAGAGTGGGGACCATTCCTAGCAACCCCACCAACTAATAAGAAAGAAACGCAAGCTTTCTTGGGTGCAGTGGGGTTCTGGAGAATGCACATCCCGAATTACAGTTCGATTGTAAGCCCTCTCTATCATGTGACCCGGAAGAAGAATGATTTTAAATGGGGCCCTGAGCAGCAACAAGCCTTTGAGCAAATTAAACGCGAGATAGTTCATGCAGTAGCCCTTGGACCAGTCCGGACCGGACCAGATGTAAAAAATGTGCTGTACACTGCAGCTGGGGAGAACGGTCCTACCTGGAGCCTCTGGCAGAAAGCTCCAGGGGAGACTCGAGGTCGACCCCTCGGCTTTTGGAGTCGGGGATATAAAGGATCTGAGGCCAGCTATACCCCAACTGAGAAAGAGATACTGGCAGCCTATGAAGGGATTCGAGCTGCTTCGGAAGTGATTGGCACTGAAGCACAGCTCCTCCTGGCACCCCGGTTGCCTGTGCTGGGCTGGATGTTCAAAGGCAGGGTCTCCTCTACACATCATGCAACTGATGCTACATGGAGTAAATGGGCTGCACTAATTACACAATGAACTCGAATAGGAAATCTCAGTTGTCCAGGCATTCTAGAAGTCATCATGGACTGGCCAGAGGGCAAAGATTTCGGAATGTCACCAAAGGAGGAGGTGGTGCGCGCTGAAGAGGCCCCACCATATAATAAACTGTCAGAAAGTGAAAAGCAGTATGCCTTGTTTACTGATGGGTCTTGCCATATTGTGGGAAAGCATCGGAGATGGAAGGCAGCTATATGGAGTCCTGGACGACAAGTTGCAGAAACTGCTGACGGAGAGGGTGAATCGAGTCAGTTTGCTGAGGTGAAAGCCATCCAGCTGGCCCTGGACATTGCTGAATGAGAAAAGTGGCCAGTACTTTACCTCTATACTGACTCATGGATGGTGGCAAATGCCCTGTGGGGGTGGTTGAAGCAATGGAAGCAGAGCAACTGGCAACGCAGAGGTAAACCCATCCTGGGCTGCTGCAATGTGGAAAGATATTGCTGCCCAGGTGCAGAACCTGGTGGTGAAGGTACGTCATGTAGATGCCCATGTACCCAAGAGTTGGGCCACTGAGGAACACCAGAACAACCAACAAGTGGATAAAGCGGCTAAGATTGAAGTGGCTCAGATGGACTTAGATTGGCAACGTAAAGGTGAATTATTTTTGGCCCGGTGGGCCCATGACACTTCAGGCCATCAGGGCAGAGATACAACATATAGATGGGCCCGTGACCGAGGGGTGGACTTAACAATGGACACTATTGCCCAGGTTATTCATGAGTGTGAAACATGTGCTGCAATTAAACAAGCCAAGCGGTTAAAGCCTCTTTGGTATGGAGGACGATGGTTGAAGTATAAATATGGGGAGGCCTGGCAGATTGACTATATCACACTGCCACCAACCCGCCAAGGCAAGCGCCATGTGCTTACCATGGTGGAAGCAACCACCGGGTGGCTGGAAACACATGCTGTGCCCCATGCCACTGCCCGGAACACCATCCTGGGCCTTGAGAAACAGATTTTGTGGCGACACGGCACCCCAGAGAGAATTGAGTCAGACAATGGGACTCATTTCCGGAATAACCTTATAGATATTTGGGCCAAAGAGCATGGCATTGAGTGGGTATATCACATCCCCTACCATGCACCAGCCTCTGGGAAAATCGAACGGTACAATGGGCTGTTAAAAACTACACTGAGAGCAATGGGTGCGGGAACTTTCAAGCATTGGAATACACACTTACCAAGGGCCACCTGGTTGGTCAACACCAGAGGATCTGCCAACAGGGCTGGCCCAGCCCAGTCAGAACTTTTACATATTGTAGAGGGGGACAAAGTTCCCGTGGTGCATATGAAGAATTTGCTGGGGAAGACAGTCTGGGTTATTCCTGCTTCAGGTAAAGGCAAACCCACTCGTGGGATTGCTTTTGCTCAGGGACCTGGATATACTTGGTGGGTAATGCAGGAAGATGGGGAAGTCGGATGTATACCTCAAGGGGATTTGATTTTAGGGGAAAACAGCCAGTGAACTCAATTGTATGCTGTTGCCTGCTGTGTAATGCTTTTATAGCCCATCAACTAGATGTCTCCAGGTCACCAGCGACTGGCCCTGACTTCCCTCCAGCCATCATCCCAACAGAGAATGAACTTTGAACATCATGGACCGAATGGACTCGACAGCATTATAGGGATTGGTCCATGCACTCTGAAAATGATTTTTTCCTCTTGGTCTGTATGTATATGGATGTATATATATGGGAGAGGGATGGTGTATTGAAAATGTGGGATCTGAGCACGACGTGAATGGTATGGAATAAGGGGTGGAAAATGTCCTGGGTTCAGCAGTAGCAGTCATGTTTTTCCTTTGTGGTAGCTGGTGCAGTGCTGTGTTTTGACTTCCAGCCTGGGAACAGTGCTGGTGATACCGATGTTTTCGGTTGTTGCTAAGTGATGTTTACCCTGACCAAGGACTCTGTGAGGCTCATGCTCTGCCAGGGAGGAGGGGAAGCCGGGAGGAAGCAGAGACGGGGCGCCTGACCTGGGCTAGCCGGGGAGGTATTCCATACCACAGCACGTCATGGCTGGGGTGGGGGGTGACTGGGAGTTACCCGGAAGGACACGGGCTTCCGGGTGGAACTCGTTTTCTTGGCCGGTGGTATCGTATTCTCTTCCCTTGTTATTTTCCCTTATCATTGTTGTAGTTGGTGGTAGCGGTGGTGATTTGCGTACATTGGTTGCTGGACTGTTCTTGGCTCAACCCGTGGGAGTCGCACTTTTTTTTTTTTCGATCCCCCTCCCCGTTCCTCCGGGAGTGGGGGAGAACCCCGGTGGGGGGGGGACACAGACCTCGATTGCTGTCAGCTTGGTACCACTCACTGGGAGTGAGTGAACAAGTTACCTGACTGGGTTTAAACCACAACAATATTATATTTAATTTATGGCATCCTTCTCAGAGAACAGCTAGAATTCTCTTTGATGAAGGAATAGACCCAAAGGAATTAAGTAAGTATAGGATAACAGTTCAATTCTTGAAGGGAACCCCATCTATGGTAGACCAAAATATATTTCCCAAGATTTCATAATAAGTTGTTTTGTGTGTTGTTTTTGTTTATTGGTTTGTTTTTTTTTGTTTTGGTTTGGTTTTGTTTGGTTTGCTTGTTTCTTCTCTGTTTGCTAAAATGAACACATTCCAAGAAAATGAAGGATTATTTGGAGCAAGGTGAACAGAGTTTGGAGTGAAGATCAAGTGCATAGAAAGTCTAAGACAGCTTTTCTTTTGCTCAAAGTCTGTGAAGTTAATTATACTTGTTATCCCTTGATCTTTAACTGAAAATATATTAAAACTAAGATTGTTGAAGAGCTTGTAAAAACATGTACATTTTACTGTTGACTAAAAGTAGCAAGTTTGGCAATCATTCATCTTGTAGTAATGTTTTTATCTTTTTCCTAAGATTGTACTTTTCTGAAATGTAAAACTTCTTGTCACCCTATTGTTCCTGCGTATGATTTTGGAAAGGTAAAGCCTAAAGATTGACATGATGAGTCAGATATAGTTAAAACTGTTGATTCAGTGAAAAAATCTCACAGAAACTGCTGTTATTATCATCATGTGGCAACTGTTCTGTTAGAAAACATAAATTGTTTCATAAAGGACATTGATAATGTTTTATAAATCACTCATTGTTTTAGTTCTATTTAAACACTAAAAGTGTAATATATATGAATTAAGATAAATATTGAACTACTGGATCATCAGGGATAGTCTTATAATTGCTAGCCTGATTTATAAAACTGGAACAGGCAATCCAAATGTTAAAGGCTAACTTGCTATCTATTGATTTAAGATGACACACTCCCATAGAGTACTATGGTTAAGGCCGTCCCTGTAGGGCTACATAAAACAGGAGAACAGTGTGACTTCTCATTTTTGCCATCCCCAGAGAAAAGCAGAATCATTAGCCAATAATAACATCAGAGAAAAACCTATTAAACCTATTATAGGTGTCAAACCAACATGATGACATAAAAGTAAGAGTGAACAGAGACAGTGGTCCACAGGGGATGAAATAATAGTTTTGTCTGCTGCATTTTAGTGTCTGAAGTAGAGTCCATTTGGGTTTACACTTTTCAGAGCAACTGTCAAAAGTGCCAAAACACTCTCAAGTTTCGATTTCATAGCAACTTTTCCCTCTTTGTAACTGATCTTATTCATTAGTGCCTGAGAAATAAAAAGTGGTCAACTATAGATATTGGCAAAAGCTAATTATGAAACTATTATCCTACAAAAATCATTTGTAGCATAGAGCTGAAACAGGAATGAGTACTCATTTACAACAGTTTCATTACTAATTGTTTTCAGAATTGAGTTCATTAAGCACAATATGCTCATGTGTACAATTCAAAAAGTGACATGGGAAAGAAAAGAATCCGTAAAAAGAAAATTCCTTAAAATGTTCTTACTTTAAGAATTTCCTTATGAATACTGTTTGGGGGTCAGCAACAAATAAGACCATTTCTCTAGAGGCCAGTCAAGGGAAAAGAGTATTCACAATGGAAGCCATATAGAGACAGGGAGAAACATCAAGAACATTTATAAATCTGGACTTAAGCATATACAAGAAACAAGGAATTAAAGCACTAGGAAAAAAAAAAAAAAAGAGCTAGAAAAAGCGATTTTAATTTTCCTGGTAATTTTTCACTCAGAAAAGCCCCTTAAAATGGCAGTTTGGGGAGCATTAGGTCAGAATAGCTGTTGGTCACCTGGGGTAGACCACCAGTACACAGAACTTTAGCAAACACTCACTTTGTTATGTGCTATTCATGGGAATCTTTTGAAATTTATAGGAGTTAGAAACTACACTAGACAT